CCTGGGGGTTTTTAAGAGGAGGTTGGATGACCACCTTACTGGGGTCATTTGACCCCAGTGCTCTTCCTGCCATGGCAGGGGGTCGGACTAGATGATCTGCTCAGGTCCCTTCCGACCCTAGAAACTATGAAACTATAAACTGTTCACCTTGTCCAATGCAAGGTGGAAGTTTCTCCTGTAGAAAGGATGTTTTCCAGATTGCCAGCAGATCATCATCCTCTGGGCTGGAACAGTGGCACTGAAGTTACTTTTAACTCCAGATTAGTATAAAGTCCTATAGGATTGTAAAAAGAGACTTGCAGAACCTCTCCCGATTTGCCTTGAAGGGGGTCAGTTAAACCCCTCCCAAACAAATGTAGACTGCACACCTCAGCAACGAACTAAGTTGTAGTCCTCATAAATAAGGCTTTACTGTAGACAGCAAAGACAGTATGACAGATTCTTTTCCCTGTTCCAGCAACATGTAAACAGGTGAAGAGAAAACATTATACACCTTGTAGTCTTTTATGCTTATCCTGCTCCAAAGTATCTACAGCTTGTACCTTTGTGGGTCCTGTCCTGGCCACTAACTACTGAGACTTCCCCCCAGGTTCTGGCCTGGCTTTGCAGTGACAGCCAGGTGTGGGAGTGCTTGCAGTGTGAGAGGTGCCTCCTCATGGATTCTCTCAGGAGTCAGGTAAGGGAACTGCAGGAGGAAGTGGATAGGCTCTGAAGCATCCATAAGCATGAGGCTTTCATTGACTTGATGCACAAGAAGACCTCCAACACCGTGGGAAAGGGGCAGGCAAAAGGGGTATTGGAAGAGAAGTTCTCTAGAAGGTGGAAGCTGGCAGTTTATCACTTCTGGCAACACACAGAACTGTTCTGAACTTGCAGCTGTCCAGATGGAGAGCAGGTATGAAGCATTGGTGTTATATGAGAAGGACCCCACTTCACTGGCAAGAGAGGCCAAACCATGCTCCCCTAGAGGGGGGAGATTATCAAGACCACTGCTGCCAAGTGAAAGCTGTGGGTTGGTGGTGGCTGTGGCTGGCAACTCCCTGCTGCAGAGCACGGAGGCATCCATCTGCTGGCCTGATCTGTTGGTTCCAGAGGTCTGCTTCCTGCCAGGAGCCCACATCCAAGATGTCACAGAAAGGGAGCCCAGACTCATCCAGTCCTCTGACTACTATCCCATGCTGCTCATCCATGTGGGCACTAACTACCAAGGACAACTTTGAGAAGATCAAAAATGACTCTGACTCGGTGCAAAAGTGAATGGGATGGGGGCCCAGGTGGTCTTGTTGATCCTTCCAGTCAAGGGTAAAGGTCTAGCTAGGAGCAAATGCATCCTGGAAAGCAATATGTGACAGTGTAGATGGTGTCACCAGCAGGGCTTTGGCTTTTTCAACTGGGGGGGAGGGGGCAGTTCTAAGAGGATGGACTTCTGGGAAGGGATGGGGTCCACCTGACAGAGGGAAGAGTGGTCTGCAATATTCTTGTTATTCCTGAATGAACTTTCCAGCAGACAAAGACTATAATTATTTCTTCAGGCCTGCAGCAGATTCAAGCAGCTGAGGAACCCGGAGCATATGTTTTTCATATCTGATTTTTCCCTTTGAAGTATTGTTTTCATATTGAGGGTGAAATGAAGAACCCATGTATCATTTTTTTTCTACACCAAAGTCCTTTCTGTGTGTCTCAATAGCAGCTTCAGTAACAAAGGGTTTGGCAAGTGATCTGTGATGTTGCAGGAGTAACAGACCTTCTATCGTTCTGTTAGAAGAAATCACAGACCCTTTTTCTCCTATGCTCCCAGCCTCTTTTGTATGATCTGTTGAGTCATTTGCTGCCTGTCTTTTGATCTGGTATTCTTTATTGTGACACAGAACAAACATGCACTTAAACTCATTCCTCTTTTGTTAGTGTCTTTCCTAGCACATTTTAAAAAAATTCCTAGTGAAGAGCAGGTGAGCAAGCCTAAAAAATTACCTCTCCTCCTTCAGTTCTATATAGACACACATCCAGGCATTTATGTAAGAAAAATAGATCAACTAAACTTATGCTTAGTTTCTGTGATTAATGCCACAACCAGCTAGTAGTAATAAGCAAGCTGGCAAACTTTTGAGCCCCTTTTCTATCTTCCCCTCTTCAGTATTGCTATCTGTTCATTCTACATCTACCATGCCAGTGCTTTTGGTATTAGAGAAACTGCAGATTCCTGATGGACCATGCAACAAGCATCCTTCCTTCACACAGAGGCTGAGTGACTTGTTTAAGGTTGCTTATGAGATCATTGGAGGGGTAGGGATTTAAACCTGTGTTTCCCAGTGTTGGCACTGGATTTATGACCCAGATACCTTGTTCTGGGCAGACCCAAATCCTCAGACTGACTACGACCTCTCCATTCGATGATAGGCACATTTTATTGATGCACAGTGATAGCAGGTAAGAATAACACAAATAATTCTATATCTACCAGTCCCAGGGCTCACAAAGTCGAGGTATGTCTTGCTGGTATGTGAGATTCACTCTGAGGTTCTCTCTTGAATGGCAGAAGTCAGCAGTCTGGAGGTCAAAAGGCTAAGGCCCACCCTCCTCCAGTGGGTGGGTGAGACAGGTTGGTGGTGTGCCCTCTGTCCATGGTGGCTTCAGGTTCCTCTCTCGGGAACTCTTTGCTGCTCTGAAAATCCTTTTTTTGTCTTCTTTCTCCCTCTGATGACTCTTTATCTTTGGGCATTGTTGACTGGTCTACCTGTGGGCATCATACTGTCCATATTCTGTCCTGTCAGCATAGTCCTTTGTTCCAAAAACCCATCGCATGCACACATCCCAATTTGGTTCTTTCTGGTGTTGTCCTAATTTGGTCTGTTTATTAAAACTGGAAATCCCTTGGGCTCTGCACTTGGGCACTGTGACTTGGCACCAATGCTGCAGAGTTCCTTATCTCTGTTATGGAACAGTGTGGTACACATCTTCAAATTCCCAGCCTATGCGTCTGCTTGCTGTTTGTCTGTGTCAGACACAGTGGGCCTTGAAGAACCTGTCACAAACAGGCTTTTAGAAATCAATTAACCCCCGCTGTTGCCCTGGACCATTATTCGAATGCATAGCTACTTTACCTACAAGCCAGTTTCTAAAAGCAAACCTCTAAATCACATTTTCTACCTATCACCCAGGTTACCAGTAATAAAGGCTATCATCTTTACCACTAGGCCATCTCTAGCTGTCTTCTCCTTAAATTCTCTTGGGTCTTAATAACTGGTGGCAACCAATTACTTTGTTTTTGTGGATTTTTCTGTTTAGTGAGATCAAAATTAAAACAAAGTTGTAGAAGTCTTGACAATTCTGCGGTGCTTTTAAAAAAACAAACTTCAAACTCTCACTAGCTCGGTGAACAAACACTGTGGGATTACACTGTTACTGTTGCATCAGCTGTATTTACATTCCTGGCAATTAAAAATCTCTCCATAGACAGGTCTAAATCCCCAACCACTTTTTTCCAGATCTGGTGAATTACAAGCTGACATCTCTTTTTATTCACTTGATGCACTATATTGTGATTAGGTGGTGGAATTCAGTGATATTTTCTTGTTTGAAGCCAAGAGCCTCTTGGGTTTAGTTCTTAAAGTCCTGATATTCTTCTGAAAAAGCAATCATTGTTAGTTTTTTTTTCTTGGCACAAGTGGTGTTTTTTGCAGGAAAAATGCAGGTCTGTGTGAGAGAACCTCTTGCTTGTAGGCAGGAGTTTATGCAAGCTTTCTGCCTAAATGAAGGAGAAGCCAAGGCTTGTTCTGTTTTGATAGTAGGCAGTACTTCCAGTAAGGACAGTCATTTTGGTATGCCACGACTGGTGTTTTCCCTTGAAGTACAAATGTTTTCCTTTTATGGCTTAGTAAAGGAAGGCAACAGGTTGCCTCTAACAGTCCAAACAATTAATATTTCAATACCGGTTCATGGCAGAACAATTGGTGGGACCATGAGTTTTCTGGGACTGGTTGTAACAACTTCAAGACTGGGTGTTACTTTCTTCAGAAAAGAATGACTTGGTTGCACAGACAGTTCCTCACAGTGTTCCTAACCCTTTCTGCAATGTCTGGACAGGTGTAAATTGATGTTGATTCGTACTTGAAACCATCATTACCTGTTCTGATTGAGTAGTAGGTTTGGGGATATTTTTGGCCAGAATCAACATGATCTGGGCTGCATTTCACAAATAAAAGGCAAAGAGCTGTTGTTTTCATTTTGCTGATAAAGGTAGTATTTTTACAGAGCTAACACAGGCATATAAAGCATAAACTATTTCAAGTTTTAATCAGACATTCATAAAACAAGACTTGAGAGCATTGGTGTTTCTGTAGAGACAGTGATGGACAGTTGCTGGTGGAGAATGAAGACTTGAACACAGACCTCTTGTAGTAGGAGATTTGCTCAGAGGACAAAGGAGAACTAATGTAACCAAACATTTGTTTTTTTTGTTTTTTGAGCTTTTTTGATAAGGGCCAGCCAAGGCTTATTTTCCATCTTCATGGTAAATCCAACACCTATACAGGAAAACCAAACAAGCTGGCACAGGTCACAAGTGCTTCTTATTCACTATACACATATATTGGCAGGGGACTCTGCTCAGGCTAAACAGCCCTTCCTGGAAAATGGGGAGTATCGGCCCGAGCAGAGCACTACATTAATGCAGCTATATTCCCTATGGTACCCAAACCCATTTAAAGCTAGATTGGGTATGTCTGCAATGTTATTTTGTTACTATATAGACATGCCTTATGAAATACTGACAAGATTACTGGGAACATAAGAAATGCCATTTACTGGGTCAGACGGTTGGTCCATCTTGCCCAGTATCCTGTGTCACACCATGGCAGAGAGTGGATGCTGAAAGGGAGAGCGAATAGGGTATGACCAGGGTTTTTTTTCTCACTATTCCTCTTACACTTGCAGCCTCCAGCATTTAAGGTCTAGGAAACTCTGATTCAGAGGATATGTCTCTAACTCCTGTGCTCAATAGCTGCTGATGCCCCTTTCCCTTTTTGAATCTGGCTAAACTCTCTGCTTCCACGACATCTTGTGGCAATGAGTTCAATAGTTTAATTACACGCTGTGTGAAAAAGAACTTCCTTTTGTTAGTTTTAATAAGAACATGAAAGGGAGCAGGGTACATGAGAAGAGAAGGTGAGGAGAGATGCATGTTGTTGGTTAAAGCCATGTAGGGAATGCAGGAATGGAGGATATCATGAAATATATGTTGTTACTCCAACATGGTGGCAGGGGGTGTGTGTGTGTGTGAGAGCACCTAACCAAAAATCTCTTGTAGGGTTTGCAAGCAGTGTTTGTATGTTCCTCCTCTGATCTGTTTTTTTTTTGCAATGGTTTTCTTCAAGTTAGCTTGAAAATGAATCCAAGTTGTGCAAGAGCCTCTCCAAGCAGGTAAATGCTTTTCTTTTCATTAATGAACTCCCACAGCAGCCAGCACATGGATGCAAAAACACCATTATATATGATGCTCTGTAGCTTTGCTGCATTCTCTTCTGAAGTTGTCCTGGTGTCAGCACCATGGTGCAGGAAATCCAGGTGGACCGCAATGCAGCAAAAAGTGGATCCGCTTGTGTCGCACTGCACCATCAAGGGGGCATTCTGCAAGGTGGAAGGTGAACAGCTAGTCCTAAATGTATAACCCCAAGAAGGGCATGGAGTCAGAGAGTTTCAAACTCTGGTGACACGGAGGTTTTTGTTGCTGGAGTTTTATAGTCCATCCCATACATTTTTTACCTTATTTTTAATATTTAGGTTAAAAAAGTTAAAAGTCTCTCTCTCATAATGCTCTGTATTCTTGGTCATTATTTCTTTTTTGTAGTTCTTTTGTTGTTTTTAATTTTTTCCCCCAGTCTTGTCTGTCTGGTTTTCTCTCTTCCTCTCTGTCGTCCAGGCTACATTCTAGCCAGGAATCAACACAGTTACAGTTTAGGGAAAATTGTGTAATAAGATTTTATGATCAAAACTGAACTTTCTCTGTGAGTTTTTTAGGGTAAATCTTTTTGTGGCTGGACTGTTCTCCTCCATTCCTAATTACCCCAGTCCATCCTTGGTTTGCAGCTGGAACCCAATATTCCTATGTATGTCTGTTTGGTTTTCTTTTGTTTAGAAGTAGATGTAAGTATCCATTCTCAGTCCTAATTATCTTGGTTTTCTGATGTTTAAATAAGAATAGAGCCAGTTTCCCAGCTTTAGTACTTTTGACTTGCTTTAATCTGTTAAGAATCCTAGCCCTGAGTGTGCTAAACCAAGCTAATCTCTTGCTATTATATACAAGTCACTGGGAGAGGGGAGGGGGGTGTACCACATACCACTGTTGTATCTTCAGCTCTTTGCCTTTGCAAGGAATTCACAAAATTACTCTGTGTGTGCATGCACACGGTTCAGACTGAACTGTCTGTCCTTTGAATCTGCTTTCCCATGTCTTATTACTGTCATTGTTAAAGTCTGGGACTTGGCCTTCCTATTTAACCAGGGAAGGTTTTATTTAATGAGCCGACTTTGAGCTGGGCTTATCTCAGTGTCTACATAATAAATGCATGCTGTTTTATGACTCAGAGCCTCATATCATAACCAAGCACTGGTTTGATAGGTGAAGGCTAGATTTAGCTGGGAAGCGAAATTCTCAGGGGTACATTGTTTTATAGGAGGAATGGAAAAAAAGGTGGTGGTTAGCAATGATTTGGAGAATAGGGGCAATCCTGCTTCCTTACTAATAATCATTCTGTACTTATTCACTGCTCTTATGATGAAATGCATCTTCTAAGCATGCAATTAAAGACATTTGTTTTGCCAAAATCTAGTTGGTCTAATACAAGATATCACCTCTACCACAAGCTCTGATTCCTTCTTCTAAGACATGAATTTTACTCCCTGGTTTGATCAGCTGAGAAACGGAATCATATTTGTAGCAAGGAAACAATACTATCAGGGTGGAAATTATTATGACAGGTGAGACTAGTTGAGCGTATTGAATGAGCTGGCTCAGGGCTGCAGACATCCCATCTCGTTCTTATGCTCATAGGTTGTGTTGTGTGGTGAAATCAGTTAAGCTCGATGATGCTAATTCCTGAAGATCTCGGTTATCAACAGGATTGCTGTTCAACCTCCACAGTCTCACACTGAGGGCGGAGACCTGAACTATTCATTCACCCAGGTCATGACATTAGTCTAGTCTTGAAGGAATGAGATGCTTAAACTGTGCATGATCTGAACGGTTTTAAAGGAGAGCAAGGAGTGCATTTTATGGGGGGGGAGAGATTGGAGAGCATTGCAAATCGGCAACGCGACACTAGGTCTTGACCAACTGCATCTAGCGTTGCTCCTTGACTCGCTGCTGAGCCAACTCATGCAGGGAAGAGTAGGAGGCATTTTGACAGCACAAACTCGTATGACTGTTTCTTCCCCACCCGTCACAAGTGAAACCAGCTGCAGAGTGTCTGCCTTCGAAGAAGACATGCACAGAGTGCAACCGAGCTACCCTGGCTGCTCTGCTGTGTCAATGGGGTGAGGCTGAATTTTTTAAATTCTCTCAGTGCTGCCAAATACTTTTCAAGCTATCTCAGCGACTGAAGCATTTCCTCTTCGTGAGAAGCCATTACGGAGGACAAATTAGGGAAGTGAACCCCAGTAACGTGAAGCAGGCAAGTTGAGGTCCATGCGTACACTTGATTACATCACGGCAAGTGACATAACAAAGCAGTTTGGAGGAAATCCTGGAAATATCTACCTTCTGGGTTTGGTGGAAAGAAACATCAGCTTTTTGCAGAGTCAAACAGCAGCTTTCTCGGTTCAGCTCAGGCCCAAGGGCCCAGACCCTCAAAGGCATTTAGGCACTAAGCTACCATCAGTTCCAATGAAAGGGTCATTTGGAGGTATTTAGTCTGGAGAGGACAGAGAGGGGATTTGAGAACAGACTTCAAATACCTAAAAGGCAATTACATGGAGGATGGAGATGGGATTTTGTCTGTGGCTGCAGGGGACAGGATTAGAAGTACTGGCCTCAAGGTGCAGCAGGGGAAATTTAGGTTGGAGATGAGGAGGAACTTTTGACTCTTAGGGTGGTCAAGCATTGGAACAGCCTACCTAGAGAAACTGAGGCGTCTCTATCCTTGGAAGTTTTGCAGGAGCAGGTTAGACGGACACTTGGCTGGGATGGTTTAGTCAGGGGTGCTCCTGCCTTGAGCAGGGGGTTCTAGATGACCTTGTGAGATCCCTTCCAGCCCTATTTTCCTACGAAAAGATCCAACTCCAACCCTATGAGTAGCTACCATTTACTCCTCCAGAGTGGGCACTGAAGACCCAGCCCCTCTCATGTTCCCTGCTCTTGGGTATCTTGGGTGGGAGCATAGGGGTGGGCTGCCCATCTCTGTCTTCCTGGCAGTGCAGCCCACAGCTTTCTCTCTCTTCTGTACTCTTGAGGAAGGTGCTTAGAGTTTTCTCCCATCTCTGTCTCAGTTTGTGGAGGGGCTTTTCACCCTTCCCTCAATTGGGATGGAGACACCCATTTTCTTTTACCTGGGATTAGTTGCCTTTCTGGCCATTTACTCCCCTTCCCATTGGGAAAAAGGCAGTCTAGAGTTTCTGTATGGGCAATGGATGTCCTCCTGTGCTGCCCACAGGGAAGAGATGGAAAGGGAGGCAACTCCATGGGTTTCAATATCTGAATGACTCCTTGGACCTATGTTCCTTGACCAGCTCCTCTGCCCAGGCTAAATGAGGAGTAGTGAGCAATCATACTGGTTATTTAGTCCCATACAGAGGAGGTGTAGAGGGGAGAAGAGGGCCATGCTGCTTGGTCTAATTTCACTTACTCAACAATTCCAACCATGGCGAGGTCCTAGGTGGGAAATGAGACCCGAATTGTTCATCTCCCAGCCTACCAAAATATCTGTGCTGAGGCATCGGTTTAACTTTGGAGGAACTGTTCTGTAACATCTCCAGCTCTGTGTGTTTTGTGTGAGGCAAAGTGTTGGGGTGCAAAATGAGCTGTTGATCCCAAATGAACCATCTCGAACAGAAGCCCTGGTTTGTTCATCTGGTAACCGTGACTCATTGCTGAATCGAGTGTCCCTGTTACGTGGAGGCGGAAAAGAAAAAGAAGATGAGTTGTTCCGAGTTCTGCCTCCTGCCTCTCTCCAGAACATCATGTGTATGCAAGACAGGAAGGGGGACTCTCCCAGCAAAACCAGTTTTTAATGTACCACTTTTAACAGCATTCATTCTCCTTTAGAAGCCCTGAGATCCTGACGTGGGGAGCTGAGCTACAACTTAGTGAAACGAGGGGACTCACTATTTGCATCAAAAAATATCAGGTGCAGAATTTCCCTTAAGCCCTGCAAAAGTCCAGCAGCCCAGTATGTCTGGAAGGCAAAAAGGCTTGGATTTCTAGGTTGGGATAGAAAAACATTCAAAAGTGGAGTTTCTCACAGGGAGTATCTATCCAAAACCATCATTTTCAAAACTGGGACACTGAAGCAAGACTTCTACATCTGCATCTGAACACTTGCCATGGCCTGACTTTGAGTTGCTGAGCACATGTGCTCCCAGTAATGATTTTTAATGTTCATTTTAAAATAACAAAATCTAGCAATCAGTAAGTAGCAAAATAAGCTTTGAATTCAGTGTTTCAGTTTGGTCTCAGTGATTTACAGCTGTGAATATACATCCCGTAGTGTTCAGATTCCAGGTTGCCTGTAAAAGAGAAGCTTGACATTAAAAGAGCTAAATGTCCTGGAAAAAGTTGTACTTGGCCAATAAAGTCTTT